CTATTGCGGCAAATCGTCCATCATCTGATATGGCACACGGTTCGGGAGGACAGCTCGCAGTAAGTCTATCCGATATTGTCGGCTCGAGCGATGACGTGCTAGCAACAATTGGTGACTCCATGTTGTCATGTGTTGATGCGAAACCGAGACATCGATCAAGGAACTGTAAGAACTGCCAAATTTACTGAAAAGAAGTGGAAATTCAAAACGCGCATAAAAAGGATGTGGAGAGTACGTGTACTGTAAGCTATTCACGAAGAACGAGTGGACCAACTGGCGAAGACGCTTCGATTGAGACATCTCTTTGATTGCACGGGTTCATGGCGAAGAGTGCATGACAGAGCGATATACTCTGACAACGAGCAACGAGTGAAGTTGGAGACAAGAGGGAAGCAAGCAGGGTGGGTCTTTCCGCTAAGACGGTGTTATTTGAGTCATCCCACAAGCTTAGGCCGATGTCAGACTTTGCGAATCGCGCGATTCGCTACTAGCGATTCGCGCGATTCGCTAGCGTCCGCGGTCGCGTTGCGGTACCAGCCAATTGAGTGATTCACTGGCCGCGACGCGACCGCAGACGCTAGCGAATCGCGCGATTCGCAAAGTCTGACATCGGCCTTACCTACTCTGAATATGAGCATGCGCATGGCGCATCAGAATAAATTAAAACAGTTTTACAAGCTTGCTTTACACTAAAACACTACCTCGTCATTCCTTTTATACTCCTGTGGACGACGTGTCGTCGATGATTCAGAGGTGGCGTGCTAAAAATGGAAAGCAATATAAACAAGTTTGAGCTCAAAATTCAAAAAGGTACCCGACAGGAGGCCCGTCGCGCGGCAAGAAGGCAGAGTCAGCGGACGAGTCGCAGCGCGTACTGTAGTGATTTCGCGTCAAGTTAAATAGAATGTATTGTACGTCCTACATCGCACATCACGCGCTGCGACTCGTCCGCCGACTGCCTTCTTGCCGCGCGACGGGCCTCTTGTCAGGTACCCAATTCAAATAATCTTCACTCAAGGAGTGTGTCAACCGAGGACGTCGCTACGCCCCTCACGCTCAGGGCATTGGCTTGTGTCCAGAGATGCAAAGATCATTCTGCTTCTCTGTCCACCTGCTCAACTCAACAAAGAATTTATAACTGAATTACCCTTCTGCCGCTGAATATCGATCGAAGTTTGTCGCCGACAGATATTGATTTGTTTTCGATGGGTGTCGTCACCGATGAAGACGGTGATGGTAACGATGATTGAGAATCGCTTGAGATCGTCCTCTGAACCCACTTGCTCGGAGGAGGAGGACGGCTGAAAAAATGTTGAAGTCAGCAATACTGAATATTTCAATAGGTAAAATCAACTCACCCAGATCTGTTCATTTCCTGAGCGCAATCGCTTGGTGGAACTTGCTTCAAATGGTTGCTAAGTTTGTCGCGCGATAAGCGTCGCTGTGGCGGATTTAGTATGAACGGACGTCGACTCGCCTGCAAAACTGATTACTGATAAGCCATACTGAATAAACGACAGAAGGGATTCCGTTGCAAAACTAATTAGGCGGGACACCTTGATTCTACTAGTCAGAGATCAAGCTAAGCCCACGGACCAAGCTCCCAGAGGAGGGGGTACTCAGCGGCAATTTTTCTTTTTCCCGGGCTTCTTCCCCCTCCTAGGGTTAGTGCCTACAGTGAGCCGTGATAAGGGTGTCCCAAATAATTAGTTTTGCACCGGGATTACAAACAAGATAGGATGGAAAGGAGACAATTTGTATGGAAAATGATTACTGATAAGCCATACTGATAATAATAATTGACTTGTTTTTGTTAGATAACTGCTGTTTTACGCCGCAGTTCGCGTTACGAATGTTTAAAGCAGGAAGATCCGGGTACGAATCCCGGCTGGGGCGAAAGTTTTGCCCACAACTCAGATTCAATAACTTTTATCATAGTACCAGATGAGATAGTGGAGGCAGGTGCGAAGGCTCGCACTGTTGCCAATGTTTTTATCATTCCCGATCTCCTTTGAAATGTTATTACTTAGTTGGGACACGGCAACGGCGCGTTGTTCTTGCACCATGTAGGTGTAGCTGCGTTTCCAGTGTATTTCGAAACTGCCAGGGTAGTGGAGAAATGTAGCGATCCCTATGACTAAAAAAAAAAAAAAAAAAAAAAAAAAAAACAAAATAAAAAAAAAAAAAAATAAAACCAGAGGTGCAGACGAGCAGAGAGAAGCGCCGCTGCGCGTCCCGCCCTCCCCCCCCCCCAACTAAGTTAGCAAGTTGGAAAAAGCATGGGTGCTTTCATGTAGTTTCAGTCCTTCAAAGTGACCATAAGATACAACCAGCAGTTATCATCACTGTGGAATGAATGCGATATTTTGGGAAATAACGGTCGTAGCACGTCAACGCTATTTAAGGGTAAGTCTAGGGTAGGGAATAGTTCCTGCTTCACAGACCGACAAGGGTGGTAAGTGTTACACTTTTGAGAGTGGACAGCAGGTGGGTCAGTTAATATATTTTAATATATTAACAGACTTTAAGAAAGCTTATAATTTTCATTTCAGGCTCGACAAAGGCGCTAAGCGCCGAAAGCTCGCCAAAAAAGGCCTAAACTTTTGCAAAACTTTTGCAAACACACAATTTTGCAATTTCTTTTGTAGAAAGTTTTGAGTCTTTTGCAATAAAATTTTGAAGTCTCACATTGTTTATTACACATTTAGAACAACCCGCAGTGTTCAAGTTGGATGCAGACAATACTCATGGTTTTTGATTAGCGTTTTATATTTACAGAAAAGCGACATATCTCAAGGTGAAAAACATGACGCAAACATTGTGCATAATCCATACAATTTCACGAGATACATATTGTAGTAGGTTCTGCAAAATGTCGTCGTCATTCGAATGAGTCTGCAGTTGCACAAGTCATTATCTTACCAAGACTTTGTAGACCCAACGAAGATCCTCACCCCTGCAGCTAACGTGCACAAATGACGCCTCCGCTTCAAAGTGCTCTTTTTCCGACTACTTTCCATTTTTCGCAGAATCCAATCGAGCAAAATGGTCGAAAGAAAGGACTTGAATGAATTCTGTGATCTTTACGAGTCGCGTAGTCTCGAAAAATCCTTTCCTATTCCTTCACCCAAAAAAATTGCAGCCGTTCCAACTTGAGGCACGGGAGCAAAATGCACCAAACACTGAAATTTCCCTGGTTATGTCGGCGGTGGTGTGAAGGAGTGACACAGCACTCGAGGAAAAGGAAAATGCGGGAGAGGTACGTTATGCGCGAAAGGGCGCAGACGTCCTGTCCAAAATTAACGACGGCCTCCACAAAATGTAAATGTTTTCTGCCAATGAAATGATTAGCCTGTTGCAGTTGTATTCTATCAGTTGTCACTAATTACAACTATCATTTACCAAAAATCAGCTATCACTATGAACCACTACTAACCAGATTTACTTGGAGGCCGTCGTCACTTGTGGTGTATGGTCTGCACCCGACTCTTCTCGTTTTTTGAAAGGGAGGGTTTGTCTCGATTGATAAGGATTGCAGCACGGCTCCACACAATATGAGGGCTTAGCGCCGTTTCGAGGCCGGCTGCAGATTGGTACAACTCCAGAGGGACTAAAACATTGACATGTGTCGCGACTCTCGTCATGACCTTTTCCACGTGCAAGGTGTGCGCCGATAGTATGCCGTGCTCCAATCATGTTCCCATGCTATGGAGGGGATGAGATACTACGCTTTCCCACGGACGCACACACCCTTTCCCACGGTTCGAACGCATGTAGCAGCCAGAAGTGCGGGAAGTGCTCTGCATCTCTGCCGGTCCGCGACTCGTCGGTCAAGCAGTCATCTCCAGTTGCCCTGTCCGAGCGCGTCGAATCCACAGTCATGCTTGAAGCTGTCGCCAAACAACAAAAACCATCAGCGGCGGATCGCGTCACAGTCCTTTTGCGCTCTCCTTCGATCGTGTATGTAGGTCTCTACCTCATTATCTCATTTGTCTTATGAGCTATCTAGGTAATCCTATTGTAGTTTGTCATAACACTTCAGTATTTAGTGTTCTGCTGTTAAGCATACACATGTTAGAAGGCATGAGTCATCAGGTCATCAGATAAGGAGAAGGCCTCACCAGGCTCGCGGCAGGCAGCAGTCATCAGAGCATTCCATACGCGACGCATCCCCTTACAAGGAAAGGATGGTAGGTCGAAGTGGCCGTTCGAAATGAGATGTATACCACCTGATGCGTCTCCAGACGCTGATTCCAAATCTGCCTTCCAAATCTGCTAAACGGCTCTCCGAACGGAGTTATGAAGCGTAATAGCTCAGTGGTGATGGTCGTGGCAGGTAAAGCTCGTAGGTAATCGCCTTTGCAAGTTTGTTGCTTTGCTTTTGTCCGCAACACTTCTAGAGACAAAAGCAAAGCAACAAACTTGCAAAGGAACCGATCCTACGAGCTTTTACCTGCCACCCCGGACCATCACCACTGAGCTATTACGCTTCATAACTCCGTTCGGAGAGTCGTTTAGCAGATTTGGAAGGCAGATTTGGAATCAGCGTCTGGAGACGCATCAGGAGGTATACATTTCATTTCGAACGGCCACTTCGACCTACCATCCTTCCCTGTGTAAGCAGAGTGGTGGAACCCTTCTGATAATACCCAGGACCCGGCTGTCTCAGCGCCTCCGAACGATCTGCCTTCTTCCACCTACATTGGGCATCAGGGTTAGTGCGACAAATATATGGATATACAAGTTGGCCTTCTATATGCAATTATGGAACAAATGCTATCAAAACCGTAGAATTTATGGCGCGATTCACACAAGAAAATCTGTGCTAGGGGAATTTGATGAATAAAGTCTGAACGCTCCTGAGAAAAATAAAACACAGGGAGGCTTGTAGTAATCTATAAATACCAGCCTTGATGAGATGCACGTCAACGACGGTGTTTGACACTTCCAACAGGGCGGAGCCATTCATTCGACAACGGTGACGTGCCATGGTCGGTGTCGTAAACACCATCATTGGAAACTTTCGAGATAATTTGTGACGTAACTTAGCCGTAAACGCCATTTGGTCGTGGTGAACCTCACAAAGGATCAAAATCCAATTCGGTCATGTTTTTAATTTGTTCACAGCAATCATGGGCTAAATTCTTCATGCAGAAGTTATCCCAAGGATGGCGGGCTACGTTATTCAAGGACAGGTCAAAATAATATCTGTTAGAGCCTTCAGCTTCGTGGTTTAATGATAATGTGAACCAACATGCTCACCATATTGGAGTACAAGTGGTGGCAGCCAGGTGTGAAAATGATAGATAATAAATTAAATATTAGGATTGATAGTGCAGTAAGGCAGGCTTCAGGATTACCCTACTGGAGTAAGTCAATAGCGCAGTGACTCGGTGGCAAGGATAGAGCTGTTTGCAAACGCATTCGGTGCGCCGTTTTACTGGCTCTAAAATGGATAGCAAGAAGCGTTAGGACCTTTTCAGTGCCCCCGATTAGTGGTCCTGAGTGGTAGTCCTATCATCCACTGTGTAGGTAGTAATCTGCACTCTTTGTATAGCGACTCTTCAGCATTCTCAGTATCTGCGCGGTTACAGTTTACTCAGTATGCAAACATAGGTTTGAACTTCTTCTGGCTCTTTTGCATTTGCAAGCTCATTTCACCTCATGTTGAGCGTTTACTGTAATCCCACTCTATATAGTGCTGTCCTTGAGGTGAAGTGGTGCACCGCGTGGTAGCAATCGGCGTAGACGAATATGCTGAACGATAGTTGAAAAATCGGATTTCCGTCCTGGCGTGCAGTGTTCTTGCCCTCAACTCTCTGTGCTAGCTATTTCATCCATTTTAGATCTGAAGGGTAGTCAGTTGCCTCAGCAGTGTGTGCGCGGAGAGCAATCGCGTCAATCCCCGACGCAGAAGTGACATCGATTTGTTGTGTTGTGCCTGTGTTTAGTTTGAACAAAAATTTGAGCTGCTATCATGACGACAAAAGAATTTGGCAAAAATGTTGACAGTGAAATAAAAGATCCCACAACGGCGAAGGACTAACTTTGGGAACTTTGGGAAGAAAAAAGGACTGACCTATAATGTTAGGTCGGAGAGTAAAAAAATACTGAACATTACAAAATCAAAAATGTTACATGTATAAATAAGCTTGTAAATAAGTGAATATGAAATAAATAAAATTGTCAAGCAGACTCGGAAGTTTTTCATGCATGGGAATGAATATCAACGGGATGCATGACTCACGAAAGGTACGGCAGCCGCTGGAGCATCGTCAAATTCGATCATTATATCAGTCTCACTGGCTTCATTACTACCGCGTCGTGTGAATGACATTCGACGTAAACGAGGCTGAAAAAGAAATTCTGCTTATTTCATGGGCTTTCACAATCAATTTTAGTTCTATGTAGCCTTAAAGGCACTTCCTGTGATCGCTATCTGTGCTTAGTTAGCTCGAAGATGGAAAAAGAAGTGAGAAAAGGACCGCCAATTAAGAGGAAAATGTAAAAGGAACCATAGAAAATATTGAAATTAAAAGCATTCTTTCCTGTAATCAACCGTGGTAAGAATGAGAGAAACAGCGCGGCGAAGAGAGAGGAAACACGCGAGAGACCTCCTCGTACGAGAGAGCGCAGACACCGCGCATGTACTGACGAGTAAAAATGGCAGCGGTCGCATCGGTCAAGGCGAAGCCTTGGCGCACTTGATTGCGTACTTGGGAGGGTGAGAAATGTTACGGTTTTCGTTCAGGAGTTTTTTAAGTTTCTCCACTGAGAGCTTTGCTCTGAAGATCTAATCGCAGGCTGTGCCTTTAAATTTATTGTTTAGGACCTGCGGAAGCACGATATGCAGCTGACAATAGCTGACACTGATACCTGGCTGGGAGTACATGTGATTTCCCCTTCAAGGGATGCCCCAGGATCAAATTGGTGTGGTTCTTCCACGCGATGAAAGTACTGATGCGAAATGGGCCGACAGTGAAAGAAAAAAGGAGAAAGAATTTGTCGAAAACGCTAGGTTAAGGGCTCACTCCTTCCTAATGCGGCTGTGCTAAGAGAATGAGAGACTGAGCGCGGAGAGGAGAGTATAAGATGAGAGAGCGCTACAGATGAGAGGGCGCCAGACAACAGCCTGCTGTTGAAAAATTGCAGCTGCTGCCGGCTGACCTACAAGACCTTAGCGCCCGTATCGGGTGATTTTTCGTGTCTTTTGGGTGCTTATCGGTTGATTGTCCTCTAGCGTGCCCAACGGCGCAGCTCATGATGAAATGCTCAAAGCGATCTTCTTTGGTAGCTCGTAAGCTTTTAATTCCTTAAGGCACTATAGCGGCTTTGCTCCAGCTTTCTCGTCCATTCTTAGCTCGGTTAGTTCTCTAGTTAGACCGTACCACTAAGTAATAATCTACTCAAGGCTCCTCTGGTCATCTGTGCTGAGCAAATGGGACGATCAAGAGAACTGGGAATAGAGAGGAATGCAAAACAAATATTGGAATGAAAGTTATTCAGCGTGTCATAGTGAGCACTCAGCCGAAAACCAGCCTTAGTTTAGTTCGTAATGAGATAGAAATTTATTGGGGAATTTGGTAAGAAACAAAGGAGATAAGAACAAGCCACACATGTCCCTTCAGCCGTTAATCAAACCGCGAAACATAGGTAGACAGGGAAAACAACGTAATGGGCGGACTTAGGAAATAGTAGTATTGTTTTCCGTCGTCAAACACTC